TCAACTTATACCCCAAGGAAATGCTTCCTCAAAAATGTTCAAGGAAGATCCTCCACACCCTAAGGACTCATATATCTCAAATGATGACTTCGGCACTCCTTCGAGAACATTTCCATTGGAACAAGAATTATTGGATCGGTTATCTAAATCTATAACTTCTTCTATCCTGAAAAGGAGGAGCAAACGCATCATAGTTTTGTGAATCATCTTTCTTTCTTGTATTGTTCCTCTTTTCTTGTATTTCTTTTTTCATCGCATTGTACAAGGTGCAGATCAATGTGTTAGCCAAAATCAGCCTTCTTAAGGAGCAGGCTTCCGATTCCTTAAGGAACAGGCTGGCAGATTTCTGGGAGCAGGCTGCCGAATGAGGATACTGCTTTTATGTTTAAGACACAGTAAGTAACTATGATCTTAAACATTGATAGATTTTTAGAGCGGACTAAACACATAAGTATGAAGAATTTAGACATATTTAAAACAGATCTCTTTGAGGAAAAAGGATTAAGGAAAAAGTAGTTTGATACACAGTAATATGGACAGTTTACTAGACAGTGTAATGAACAAGCTGTTTATCTGGGAAATTTGTGAAGGTGATGAGAACTGTAGTGTATAGTGGGAACTGAATATATAAGGTGACACAAGATATATCCTGGTTCAGAGGTGGTGTAATCCTCCTACATCCAGTCCTAACCTATTTCAGATGGATTTCCACTAAATGAATATACCCATTACATTTAGTGCCCAATCTACCCTTGGCCGCAGGAATAGATTGTGAAGTTTTTCACATGGAAATTGAACACCATTCCATGCTACTTAGTCTTCCAAGGTTTTTCACTAATGACATTGACTTGCCAGAACCTACTCATGTCCTTCCCTTGACACACCTTCCGGATTTGATCACAAAGCCTTCCATAATGTCTAACACTAGTCTAGTTTACATGAATAAAGCTAAACTACGAACTAACTAAGCTCTAAAGATGTGTATGAATTTGAGCTAGTCTAAGAGTTTAGGTGAGTGGGGTGAGAACTAAGATGGAGAAGGAAGACCAACACTTCTGTTGCTGGACATGTCGAATGATTCCATCTTCCTTTTTATTTCCACACTTAGCTCCACGCTTAGTCTTCACGCACTCCTTCTGTATTTATAGACTTTGTTGTTAAAGCTCCACTATTGGCTAAAGAATTTCAATCTTAACCGTTGCTTTTGATCCACTTGTTTCGTTCTACTTGACTGAAGGCAGCATGTTTGATTTTTGTCATCTTGTGACCCGGGCCATTTTTTGCTCAACTTGTTTTCCTCATCTCAATGCAAGATAAAGATTGAATATCTTTAATCTTTTGTTCGAAGAGTTGAGTATATAAGTTGGGTGTTGTTCAATGCTTCCTTACAATAAAATTACGTGTTTTTAGTAAAATAAGTTTATAAGAAATTTTCATAAGGTGATAAAAATTTCTTATAAAATTACTTTCTATCTTTTTGTCATTTTGACTGCAAGTTGGTCTTTTGTTTTAGTGCTTTTGTGCTTTAGAGAAGAGTAGTAGATCTCGGTGGCCTTGTCTAGAAAATCAAGTTGGGGTCCGGCTGAAGAGTGTTTTCAGTGGTAGATTTCGGTGATCTTTGTTTTTCAGATGACTGCTGAATCATCAACTAAAAAAGTAGAGCTGTCAAACGGGTCAACCTAACCCAACCCGACCCGTGACGGGTTATGCTTTATGTGGGTTGGGTCGGGCAAACCCATTTAGTGAGAGTTGCTTACAAAAAAAATTGAGATCCCTTTCAAGTCCCGTTTTTCGGTGCGGTATCATATCGGTCTGGTTTGACACCATGCCGGTTCGGTATTTTTGCCCACCCCTACTTCAAATACACAGCTGAGTGAATTTTCCTTTGATGTACGAATGGGACTCCGACTGGGAATTGAAATTGGAGCAGAAAAGAAGAAAAACGGAAAGGCACAGAGCACTTTCAAGTGTGCTGCAATCAATGTTCTAAAAGGCGCTAGGCGCTAGTCGGGTGCCAGCCCAGCGCCTAGCGCCTAGGCCTCTAGGCAGGCGACTAGTCGGTGACTAGTCGGAGACAAAGAAATTGCATTTTTATCTATATTTTTGCATAATATCATAAGTAATATTGTAGTTTTGTGTGTATAAAATACATATATACATATACATAATACATTAACAAACATGAATGATAGAATTATCACATTTAATCATACATAGTACGGAGTATATGATAACTAATCCCTTAACTTCATTATATTATATAATATAAATAATGATGAAATTTTGGTACATATAGAAACATATATAGTTTTATCTTAATTTACAACTTCATTTCTTTATATCCATGGCTAAAGCTAAAAAACGTATATCGCTTAGAAAATTAAAATTAAAAAGTAAAGTAATGTTTGGCGAATCTAGACGGCCTAGGCGGTCGATTAAGCACTCTAGGCGGGCAACTAGGCGCCATAGGCGGCCGACTAATTCACCTAGACGGCAAACTAATTACTCGAAGTGCCTAGACGAAAATCGGGGCACCCGACCACCGCCTAGTGCCTAGGCGGGAACTAGTCGGACGCCTAGAACGATTTTTAGAACAGAGACTGCAATGATGCTTGGGAAAACATTAATTTTTTGTTGGAATACTTTTGGAGTAAGCCTGTGAAACTTTCATAGATAAGGACACTTTTGGAAATTCCACTTACAATTAACGGTTCAAGCAACTTATATTTAACAAAAGGGGGATATTCTAACTTTAATAAAAGCTTAAGGGGTAAATAAATCAGTTGTAAAAATATTATGTTGATTTAATAATTATCACCTAACCTCAAGGGGGAAATCATTATTTTCCCTAGGGGAAAATTTTGATTCCTTCTAGTTTGATCATAATAATTAATTCAACCTTATATTTTTAAAAGTCAACTACTTACCCCCTCAGCTACGATTAATGTTGCAATCTCCCCCTCAGCTACGAACTATGTGTGGGGGAGTTGATATGCTTGTAATTTCCGTTTGTATGTTTATATTTTTAGTTAGTTTTGGTTGTTTAATACTTTGGAAATTACACACTTTTGGTGTAATAGTTATGTTTGTAAAATAGTTGTAATGTGTTTAGATTAGGTTTATTTTGAGCTAAAACAGGTCCAAGATCAATCAAAAGATCATTGGTGAGACCAAAAGAGGAAGGAAGGTGCAAGAATACAAGACAAAAAAGGAAAGTTCCTGATTTTGACCTGTACCTGGTTGGGTATACCCTATAACCGATCGGGTACCCACTTGACTTTCAATCAGATCACTTCGGGAAACAAAGAGACGTGCATGGGAAGATTTAGCCACGATCAGTTGTTATACCCGATCGGGTACACCGACACACCCGATCGGGTATGCAGATAAATTTAACCTTGAAATCGGTCGAGTATAGCTCGAATTCACCATTCTGGGAATACCCGGTCGGGTACGTACCCTTATGTGTACTCGATCGGGTACCCGAGGTGCATTTCCAAAAGCCTATATATACACCTCCTTTCCTTCACAATTATTCGCCAATTCCTATACACTTCTAAGCTCAGTCTAGATAAGTTCTTTCTTTATATTTTCATTAGTTTTGTCTCCAAATGAGGAGCTAAACTCTTCCACCTTGGTTTTGCTACTTTGAAGCTTAATGAATTGTAAGTTGAGAGTTATTTTCTTTAATCTTCTTCCTTGAATATTAATTAATTCCTACTCCTATTTCATATTAATATTTTGAGCATTACTTAAAGGACCAACTAGTTTGTTTCATATATTAATTATTACTAGAATCGATCGATTAATACACTTGTTATTAATTCGGTCCTTTCACGGTAGTAAACTTGGGTTGCTAATGCATGCGTTTCATGGTTAATAACCGAAGGGGAATTAATTATATTGGTTAAACCGATAAACCGCTTGTGTTGAGGTTATCAATTTCAATCGTTTTCATCTTGATTTTATTGCTACTATCGGGTTAATATACGGCGCGTGTTCTATATTGACTCGGTAGTAAGTTTTATTAATGAACACATCTCGTTATTAATAACTACCCTCGATGAACTGGATATACTCCTCGATTGAGTATTCGTGAGGAAGATAGTTAAAGATATAACTGGGATCGACGAACATTTCATTAAGTGGATAAATGCAAATCCAAGTCTTCATCTCTATTAAGTAAACCACATAAGTCGTTCATCTTTGTGTTTAAATATAATTAAAGTTCACCAAACAAACTTAAAACCCCCCTTTGTTACTAGTTCTATAAAAAGAGAAGTATTCCTTTCCTTGCGGATACGAACCTTACTACGCTATACTACGTATAAGTGTTGTATTGAATATTTATTTTGGGTGCACACCACATACTAATACCAAACAATGTCACTTTTCCAAGTGTTTAAGTGGAAGTTAAAGTTTAGTCATCCTATAAAAATCCACATAATTTATCAATTTTTATACTCCGTATTACATCATTATTAAATTTCAGAAAAACTATAGTAGTACAAATTTTAACCGGTCATGACATTGTTTAGAACCGGTACGGTCTAATTCGTGACAAAAAAATTGAGATCCCTTTCAAGTCCCGTTTTTCGGGGCGGTATCATATCGGTCTGGTTTGACACCATGCCGGTTCGGTATTTTTGCCCACCCCTACTTCAAATACACAGCCGAGTGAATTTTCCATTGATGTACGAATGGGACTCCGACTGGGAATTGAAATTGGAGCAGAAAAGAAGAAAAACGAAAAGGCACAGAGCACTTTCAAGTGTGGTGCAATGATGCTTGGGAAAACATTAATTTTTTGTTCGAATACTTTTGGAGTAAGCCTGTGAAACTTTCATAGATAAGGACATTTTTGAAAATTCCACTTACAATTAACGGTTCAAGCTGTTGGAATATTTTATTCCAATAATTAATATGGGCTAAATGCAACCACATTTTTACTAAATGCAACCACATGCTTTTTGCATCTGTATTATATCCTTAGAATAACTCTCCCCCCACCTCAATACGCTGTCCGGATAACGGACGCTCACATGACTTCTCTACGCTTGTTCTTTATTCCGGTCACCATAAGCTCCGGCCGCAGCGACGATAAGCTCTGGCGAAAGCAGTCAAGAGAAAAGACTGCCTCTTGCACATCCATCGAAACTTGGTGGCTATTCAGCCTTTTCCTCAACCCAAAGTGTTGTGTTCAGTTCTCTATAATTTTCTGAGCACATCCCTTCTTTCAAGGAATCCCATAGGCAGTGGCCAGAGGGCGGCAGTCGCTATGCTGAGGCGGCAGGGCTTCAATACGGGCGTCAGAAGGTTGAGGCACTTTACATGGTGAAGCTGGTGTTTCCGGACAGGGCGATGGAGTAAGAAGGCGTAGACATTCCTTATTCGTCCCGGGCCGGACCTGCTCCTCCTGCATCGGGAAACTCAATTGACTCCTATCCGGCAAGGCAAGGTTGATTAGAGCGACAGGAACTTTTTGAAGGATAAACATATGGAAAATGGTTATGTTGACTTGTGTTGGTAAACCTGTTGCCGGCTGTATCATTACGCACATGGAAGATAAACTTTAAATCATATTTCCTCCTTTGGGTCATCTTCATCAAATCTGATTGGTTCTGTGTAATGTTTTGATCAATTGCTTATGTTTCTTCCACCTATTCTCAAATCTCAATAGACTTTAATTAATTTGATATTCCAAATTTATGCACTGCCGGAGTGGGTTGGCGACGGTGAGGTGAGCGCTCTCATACGCCATGTCGGTCAGGGTAGTTTAGGTATTAAAAATATTTAATGGCTGTGAGTAGCAATTTGTGGGCTGCAAATAGAATTACCCTTATATATCATAATTGGGGTTTATTTATGTGGTCAATATTATCTAAGCCCAATAGACTATTAAGATAAATGTATGGGCCAAATAAATGAGCAGAGACTCATGTTGCTTGTTAGGGTATAATGAAAGTCATGGAATTATTACAACATTCGATTTGTTCTTGTATTGCTTCCGCTATATGTATATGTATTTTCAACAATTGGTATTAGAGCCTCCTTCATATTGAATTATCTAGAGTCGATATAATCTACCGATTTATTGAAATAAGGGTAATGCGATTTTGCATTTATGCAATTCGTTCCTAATATATTTACATATTAGATCGGTAGTTAACCGTTAATCAAAACGATTGGATCGTTTTTTTTAATCGTTTTACAATTTGCGATTGAAATTTGATTTATGTATTTGACATGACGATTAATTGGATCTGGGATATTGAGATGGAACCCGGAAGGATATTCCAGATTTTGAGATAGTCTTTAAATTAATCGGTATTTTTTCTATGTTGACATGAGAACCGTACGGGTATGGATGTTCCAGATTTGTTTTATTTCTTTACCGTATTTTGGGAATTCGGCCTGAACTTTGTGGAGTCAATAAATTGCAGTGAGAAAATTGTTTCCACTTTGCCCAAGTCTTGACTCTTGAGTGCCATATGTTAAGTTTTCTTGCTCTCTTTAATCATTATTCTGTTAGTTTTATTTTGTTAAAATCAACCTTGCGGTCGAACACTGTTCAAGGAGGATTCAAGGTTTGATTTGGTTTTTTGGAGAGTTGTGATCAGCTGCTTAAAAGAAATACAGAATATATGTGAGTTTAAAGCTATAAGGCTATGGTTTTATCAGCCATATGCATGCTTACTCAATATAAGTTTTTTTTGAGAGATTTACCAAATAGGACTAAAACAAGGTACAATTGCAAAAATAGGACCCCTATGTTTTATTTGTCAAAAATAGGACTAAAAAGAAGTAATCCGACAAAACTACCCTTAATGAAATAAAAATAAAAGGCACCGTTGCACCTCCTCAGATGATTTCTTGCAGCAGGACCTCCAGACCATCGATACCAATAATATGCTCCGCACCAGTAGTCGTTGCCAAGACCACCGCAACTGGCACTTCCTAGTGAGGCTCTGTCGCTGCACTGGCGAGACCGCCGCTGCACACAGTCAGCGAGAATGCACACATCATGCTAGATGGCTCACTCCAGCGTCATCCACCACTGTTAAGTCCCCCCTGGAGGTGTCGACATCTTCTCATTGCAGCTCCCTCCTCTAGAGAGTATATCAATTTTAGGTGAAATTGCCATCATCATAACATCAAAGACCAAAAACATGACATTTTTAGATGGAAAAAACCTGTCATTTTTTAGATTACAACATGACATTTTCAGATTAAAAAATTATGGCATTCTCATATTGATATTTTTAGGGATTACAACATGACATTTTTAGATGCAATGCAAAAACATGCCATTTTTTAGATTACAACATGACATTTTTTTATGGAAAAGCATGTCATTTTTTATATTACAACATGACATTTTTAGATGCAAAAACATGTCATTTTTTAGATTACAACATGACATTCTCAATTCTCAATATCATAAAAATGTCATTATTTGTCAAAAATGTCAAAACCATGGAACTTTCAAACATATAATATTGTCATCTTCAAAAAATTGCCATCATGTCTAAAAAATATTGTCAATCATGTGGCTTTTTAAAACATTGATAAACGAACAATCTACCAGGGCCAAAAATTTCGAACAATTGATAGAGCCTCCAGCTTCATATCCAAATTAGAAGTTCTAAATCCAAAATTTTCAAATCAAAAAATATTTTCACTTTGAATCTAAAAAATCAACAAAAACATCAACAGAAAATTAATCTAAATTGCAAGAGAAGCATAGAAGAACAGAAGAGAAGGAGAAGCAGAAGAGGGAAGAGAAGGAAAAGAAGAAAGAAGAACAATTACTTACCTGGGATATTTCGACCTGAGCAGTGGAGCGTGGAAGCTGCGGACATGGGAGAGATGATGAGGAGATCTGGGGCGATCGATTATGGTTCGATTGATGCGGAAGAGGAGGCCGAGGAAATATTTATTTAGGGATTCGATATATAAGGGGTAGAATGGTAATAGGAAGTCCTATTTTGGGAATTTAAAATATTGAGTCCTAAGTTGGAGTATTCACTATGTTTTAGTCCTAATTAGATCAATTTTTTTACTTCTATACGAAATATGTTAAGCACGTATAGTATGTGTATTTATATGGTAGAGATTTACTTGCATTTATGTATATATTACATACTAGCTTTGGGCACGCGCGGTGCGCGAGGTTCAATGCCCAATGGTGGGAAAGGGAGAAGAAAAATGAGAAAAACAGTGATGAACACATGCAAAAGAAAGTGCTTTATGTTGGCCTATGATAAAAGAAGCATTGTAACAGCCAAAAGCAGCAAGCAAAAAAACAGCCTGAGAGTCATTGTTTCAGTAGGGCCATTGGGGAACCTAACATGTTAGACAAAGCTGCATGACATCAGTTAATGATAAATTTTAGAGCAGTTAAGCATTGTCAGCATTGTGGGTGCAAACTTGGCTGCCAATCTCGTACGTGTGGTTCTGCAGGGGCGGTTCTTCAACGCCGCATGTTGAAATGGCAAGCAGTCTAACCCTCCCACGAATGTATTTGAAAAAGCAAGGCTGCAAGATGGGGCAATGTGGAAAGTAAACAGAATCTCCTGTATAAGATCCATCTCGTTGCCTAAGAAATGGTGTTCTTCTTCGCCATGGACAATCAGCAACCGCCCTCTGTTATCACAGCAGGTGTTCAGGAACGCCTCGCATGTTGACCGCAGTGATAGGCAGGGGCGGAGCCAGGATATGACCGGAGGGGGGCGGGGTGAAATAAAAAAGAATAAGATTTAAAATATAAATAAAATATACATTAAATGATGTATTTGTATTCATCTAAAATATTCAAAAAGTACATTATTAAACACTGTGTAGGATAAAATTTAGAACATTACATGACTATATCTATCTTGCATGTCACGAAAATCATCGATAAAAGAATCCACGCCAAACTTTTTGGCGTTTTTTGTGTGTAAGACAATAAATACTAGCGAATATCTAAAAATAAAAAAGGTAAACAACTTAACTAAGTTTACTAGACTTGCTAGTCAATAATGAATTAGTAATAAACTTAGGAAACTATTTTCAATATTAAATAATAGGTAAAAGGCAAAAAATGTACTCGTAATACTTTACCTCTATTCTAATACTCCCTCCGTCCCAATATAAAAGGCACATTTGCGTTTCTAGACATTTTAAGGGTGAACACTGTTTGAACATTGTTTGACACTGTTTAGACACTGTTTGGCACTGTTTGGCACTGTTTGGCACTATTTTGCACTGTTTTGTTTGCCAAAAAGGGAAATGTGCCTTTTATATTGGGACGGACCGAAAAGGAAAGTGTGCCTTTTATATTGGGACGGATGGAGTAGGTCTTGTGGATGCATCCATTGTCCACCAAGGATTTTTTTAATTAATATACTTGATTTTTGGGCATTGAATTATTTGCTTCCATATTAAAGTGGGGCTTTGGGGCCCAAGTAACAACAAGATACCGTACTAACTACTAGAAGAACTAATATAATAGTCCTATGTCCTAACAAATAAGTACTACGTATAAGATTTGAGGGAGGGGGGCAAAAAAAATTACATAATGCTAATAGGTCAAAAATAAAAAGTTGGGAGGGGCCATGGCCCCCTTGCTTGAATACATAGCTCCGTCCGGGGTGATAGGAGTAATCAGGTTTGATAAAAATAAGAGAACCGAAAAGTACAATCAAAGCACAAGAGCGTGTACCGCTGCAGTTTTTGTGGGGACATAAAGAAATGATGGCGGGTGAAACAGTTTTCTGTAGGAGTAGTCCGAAATGGCAGACTGCACGCACACAAAGAAGTGATCTGCATGGCAAGGAGAAAGAGAAAGAATTATACACGATCGCAAAGGGTTAGTGTGAAGTAACATGTAAATGAAAAGGAATGATGAATATGGAGGGAAAATACCCCCAGGAAGCGCGGGGTCAAAGACAGCATGGGGGGTTTCACCAAGGTTCCGCGAGTTGCCTTCCGCGTCTAACATGAGTACATCAAACATGAAATTACCGATATGTCGCAGCAGGATGGAGGTGTCAAAGGGAACATCATTTTCGAAGAGGAAATTTGCAAATTCCTCGCCAAAAGTGTAGGCTCGCACAGGCAGCGGCCAAGAACCATTTCAATACCGTAAGACAGCTTCTACTTTAGTGTGTTCAAATAAATGACGGTGCATGCAGGGGGGTATTTGCTCAACGAAAAGTTAAAAAAAAAAATAGTAATTAGTTAACCAAGTACTCATCACACATTGAAAAGACAAAAATAATAAGTACAGTCATGCAAACAGCGTTTGCATGACAGTCGTATTTGCAGGCTGATGTTGAGTAAGGACAGCAAAAGATATCTTTCTCCCATGCACAGTATGGAGGAAATAGGTTATGGTATCAGCGGCTCCATTGGCAACGACATTTTCGACGGTATAATTGCTGAAGAGGTCCATGTGGCTGGGAAAGAGAAATAAGTTAGCATACTTAACTGACCAATGGCGGGGGGAGGGGCAAAGGAAAACAGTATTGAGGGGGGAAGGGTGCACAGTGAATAACAGATCGCGAAGCATTTGCAGGTATATATCCCATGTAATAAAAAAAATTGATTTTTTAACAAAGTTTGTGTACATGTATAGTGAATCAAATCTAAAAAGGCTGAACCAGTTGAAATGAGGTTGGATTTCGTGGGCTGCAAAACCTTTACAGCTATGTATATATTTTGTTTACTTTCATCACAAATTAGTGAATAATCATCAATGACCTCTGCACATTATTTTTTGGTCAAGTCATACTAAACCAGTTGTTATTCATAATCACATCACTACTCCAGGAATGACATTTCACGTCTCACATGTGATCTAGTGGAAGAACAAAATACCTTAATGGTAGGTAGCATGGTTTGGTTGCAAAGAAGAGGCATTTTTTTGGAAAAACAGAGAACAACAAGTCAGAGAGCATCACTAATAGGGGCCATAGCACGGAACGCAAGA